ACATTTAAAAAAATATCTCATTCTTTTGTTCTTGACAAAAGCATGTACAGTATGAGCAGCTCTCTGGCAATAACAACCTGGCAAAAACTGTCAGAATCAACCTCACGGAACTATGTAATATAGTCAAAAACTTCCAACAACCAGGGGGACAGCTTAAGGAAGCATGCTGCTTGTTTTAAGAGATCTCTGTGACGTTTAAACTGCCCACGTAACATCCCTACTCCCCAGTTTGGCAGGTGACAGGGGAGATGGTAGCAAAGGTGCTAGCATGTATTCCTGGTGCAGGCTGCTAATGAGAGGTAGCAATACGGGCCTTACTTCCACAGAATTATGTTTCAACCTGTGTGGAGGCTCCCTGAAGGACCAGTACAAAAGCTTGCCTTTGTTTCACCCAACTCAGAGTGTTCCCAGAACTAGAGTAACTTTCCAGGTGACATTTGTGAGAGACATTTAAAGGCAAGAAGTACTAGCCGTAGCACCCTGGGGCTCAGGGTAATAAGTCAGTCAGGTGACAGACAGACTGAAAAGTCTGGAAAGGAACAGGCTGGGAAAAGAGATATGTGGGGTATTAATAAGGGCTTTTAAAAGCTCCTGTTTCTACCAGGGGAGATGAGAAGACCACATGCATGCTCATGGTTGGATGCCTGCTCAGGAAAGGCCTGAGAAGACCCTCAACTGTCACCTCAAGCTCTGCATAAGCAGGAAGTGAAGGCTAAGGCAGTAGACGACCTGGCCAAGCCTTGGAGAAGTGCCCCAACACAAAGCCAATTTGAAAGAGGAGGAGAATAATTTTCTTTTCAAATTTTTTTTCTTTCCTTGGTTCTAGGTATTTAAGGAAACTGTCAAAACACCAGCTGACCACTAAGCTAAGAAAACACAGACTTCAGTGGCCATACATAGAATACAGACTTTATAAAACTACTTTGGAAAAGTCATGAAATAACTAACCAACAATTCACAAGCAGCAGTAACAAACCATTGGAGGAAGGAGAATCTTGATTTCCTCAGTCGCCACATTATAATATTAAAAATGTTCAGTTTCCAACAAAAATTATGAGGTATGCAAAGAAGAAACATAGCCCATTCACAGGAAAAGGAGAAATTAATAGAACCAGCCCCTGAGGAGGCCCAGGTATTGGACTTGAACAGTATCTTACATATGCTCAAAGAGCTAAAGGAAACCATGGCAAGTAAAACTAAAGGAAACAGGAGAACAATGTCTTATCAAGTAGAGAACAACAATAAAGAGGTGGAAATTATAAGAGGAGACCAAATCGAAATTCTGGAACTGAAAAGTACAAGTGAAATGAAAAATTTGCTAGAGGGTGTTCAAGAGCAGAACTGAGCAGGCAAAAGAAAGAATCAAGTTAAGTTAATTGAGATACAGTCTGAGGAGCAGAAAGAGCAAAGAATGAAGAACAATGAACAGAGACCTGTGGGACACCATCATGCACACCAACATATGCATAATGGTCCCAGAGGAGAAGGAGAGGGCAAGAGGGGCAGAAAGAACATTTAAAGAAATAATGGCCAAAAATTTCCCAAATTTTGATAAAAGACTAGAAACTCAACAAATTCCAAGCAGAACTCAAAGAGATCAGTGAACAAAAAAGACTACATTCTAGTAGGAAACAGGCATAAATAATAAATGATAAATTAAGTAAAAAGATAAAATATTAAGGAGAATAAAAAAAGTAAATCATGAGAGTGGTACTGGAGCTAGGAGAGGAGGGCATAATCCAGTATTACTTAGTGTAGTTAGGGCAGGTTTCAATGATAATGGGACCCTTAAGCAAAGACAGGAAGGCAGTGAGGGAGAAGCCAAGTGGCTATCTAGGAAGAGTGTATTAGGTAGAGGAAACAGCTTGTGCAAAGGCCCTATTGTGGATTGACGCCTGCCATATCTGAGGAGCAGCAAGGGCCAATGATGGTTTGAGTGTAGGAAAGAAGAGGAAGAATAGTTGAAAATAGGGACAGATCATTCAGGGCTTTATAGGAACTTTTGGCTTTTACTATGAGTCAAACAAAGGGGCATCAGAGGATTCTGAGCAAAGGATGATATTATTTGATTAATTTAAAAAGGTTATTTTGACTGCTCTAGTGAGAATAGAGGGCAAAGGCAGAAGATCAGTTAAAAGGCTACCTATAAATCCAGTCAAGATTTGATGGTGACTTGGATAAGGTAGTAGTAGTACATGTGGTGGGAAAAAAGTCTGAATCTGGCATATACAGTTGACCCTTGAACAACACATCTTTTGAGGTATGCTGGTCAACTTACAAGCAGAGTTTTTTTCTTTCAATAAATATGTTGGAAATTTTTTGGAAATCTGTCAATTTGAAAAAACATTTTCTTTTCTGTAGCTTACTTTATTGTAAGAATACAATATACAATACATATAGCATACAAAACATGTTAACTGGCAATTTACGTTATTAGTAAGGCTTCTGGTCAACAGTAGTTAAGTTTCTGGGGAGTTAAAAGTTGATGTGAATTTTCAACTATATAGTGGTTGGTGCCCCTAACCCTCATGTATATATTGAAGGTAGAACCAACAAGATTTCCTGATAAAATTTCTGCATAAAATACAGGATGTCAGAGAGACTAGAAGGTGCAAATGTTTTTAACTGAGATAAAGAAACCAATGGAGCTCATATGCAAGTAAGGAGAAATTCAGTTTTGGACATTTTAAGTTTGAGATGATTTTTAGACATCTAAGGGAAATACTGAGTAGGTAACTGAACATAAGAGTTTGGAGTTTGAAGGAAAAGTCTAGGCTAGAGATACAAATTAGGGAGTTTTAGTACATAGACAGTTATTTAAAGCCATAAATGTTTAATGAGACCACCATGTACAGCTCTACCATGTCTGTATTATAATTACCAATATACTTGTTTGCACCCCTGATAAGGATATAAATTACACACGAGCAGAAAATGTTTATCTTGTTCATTGATTTATATTCATGAGCAAACTGAACTTAAAATGAATATTTCACGAATGAGTATGTTCTAGACACAATCTGCATATTATTAAAAATTCCTTATGGTTAATGTTTGATAATGATTATGACCGAGAAGAAAAAATGTCCTTGTCTGATATTTAAGCTGTCTTCTAAGACCTGTAAATGATATCAGACTGGCCTTTTAAATCAAAGATAAAATCTATTCAATAAATTAAAAAGGCATCAGGGATAAAGCTCAATTTTTTAGAAAAAAAATGCACCAATTAAGTTTTTTGGTTATGGTCAGATTAGAGTCTGATTTTCAAGCTGCTTTAGTAAGAATTAATTTATCTGGAGTTCTTTGTAAATGAGATATTCTACATAAATGAAGTTTCCAAATATTTGAAATCTCATTCTACCATTAAGAGTCATAATCTACCATTTTGGATCGGAACCTTTAAAAAATAATGTATTTCACATACCCCTGCTATCCAAAACAGAGCTGAATAAAGATGATTTAACCTTCTAAAAAATATGTGGAAGTCATCACTATGATATCAATTACTGTAGTACATAAGATTGTGAAGGGCTGAGTTATACAAGAGCTACAAGCCTCTATTCTGAGTAGACCACATGCCTATACTTTTAAATTCTGGTTTCTTTAGTTGACCCTGTTTGCTTTTATCTAAGTGCTTATCCTCCATTTAATTTGTTACTCTACTCTGGAGTAGGCAGGGAAATGTGTTAAAACTGTCTCAGTAGTACATTTATCACTAAACGTTCTTTTGTACTATTGAGATTTACCACCATGTGCAAACATTATTTTCATCAAAGGCGGGGAGAGCCAAGTTTTAGTGAGGGAGTGTGTGGAGTTAAAAAGGTTAGTGGAGACTTTTAAAGGTTGCCTTCTAACATGCATGGGATTTTAGAGCACAGGTCTTAGTTATTTGCCCACTTACAGATTCATCTACTCTTTTATTTACTTCGTTATTATTTGACTTTCTGATTCTCAGCTATGCTTCTAAAAAGTTGCCAAATAAGTAGTTGTTCTAACTGATTATGTCCTTCACCATTAAACTAATTTAAAAAAACAAAATTAAAAGTAATCCAAGTACCAATTGTAAGTACTTTTAGTTAAGGAAAAAAAAAAAAAAAGTGAGTGAATGCAGATAAAAAGGGTTAATATTGGCAAAGTATTGCAACAATAATAATTGTCATTTTTATAATATATTCAATTAAATTTTTTATCTATAAACTTGAATCAGTGAAGGCTTATTTCATACAAGTCTTTTCACTGAATAAAATGGTGCTATTTTCAGTCTGACATTATTTGTTTTACAGATCCGCAAATTTGCCTGCATAAGCATAGACGCCAAACTGTGATTCAGAATAAAGCAACATTTAAAAATATTTCCATATTTCTGAAGAGAAATTCAGGTACATTAAAATCCATCTGACTGCTCTTGAGTATTATTTTGTTTTCACCCAAAATTTTTAGCACCTATCTTTTCTAAAATATGAATTTTGAGTTAATAAAAACCCCAGCAAATACTGAATAAAATTTGAAGTGTTCAGCAGAACTGATAAGAACAAAGTATTTTCCAGTGCCTTTCACACAAGCTAAGGAATATAAATTTGAAACAGTAAGAGGGCACAAATGCTATTGCAATTCCAGAAATAATTAAAATATGAATGATTTATGATGATCTGTTATAGCATAGCTGTTAGGATTTTTACACTGATTTTCTGAAATAAAGCAGAAATATGTATTTCATTACATATCGTATACTCTTCCCAATATATGTGAGAAAATAAAACTGCCATGAACCAACTGCCAAATCCAGAGGTTATCTATTTAGAAACAAGGAATGAAAAAGTTTTTACTAAAACCTATGTATACATGTACAGTTCAGACCTTTCTGTGCTCTTCTATAAAAGGTTGCAACCAGAGCAAATTAATTGTGTTCCACAGCAAAGTATTAAAAAAGCTGGCTAAGAATCTTGTTTCACTACTATAAAATAGAACTCTGGAAATTCACAGGGCAGAATATTCACAGAATGAAAGCTGCAGAATCTCTAGACTGTATTTTATTTTTCTAAAGGAAAAACAGCCCAGGGTTAATTCAAAGAACTATCTTAAACTAAAATGACAGAGTTTACTACTATTCCCAAATAGTAAAGAGAGCTCTCAAGAATACAACTTGAATACAGGTCAAGAACCGGTTCAACATACTTAACTGGTAGTTTTATAAATTATAATGAATGCTGCTACTCCCTAAAAATGAATGTATCATAGAGGAAATAACCTCCTTGGAATGCCTGCAGTTATACAACACATTTGTTTTATTGCTTTCAAGCACCAGTGCTGGAAGCTCAGAATAAGTCTATGGGAGGAGGACTTCAGTCACAGCAGCAAGCAGGTCTACTGAGCAGATAAGATGATATGCTTGGGGAAATAACAAGCAAATAAGAGGTAAGTATTTAACAAATAAATACAGAATTAATCTAAAGGGCTTTTTTGTTCTTCAAAAACTGCTACCATAATCTTTAATTTCTATTCAGTGGTTTAAAAACTAAAATGAAATTTTTACCAGTGTTAATGGGGAGGTTTTTAATATGGCATTTGCAGATTTTATGAATAAATGGTTTAATTTTCCTCTTAGCTTCCTCTCCTTCCCAAGGAAGTTGGAAAAATTAAGGAAAAAAAATACTACTTAAAAAAATAACTGATTCAAATATGGCACCAAGTGATAAATTTAGAAAATATCTGTTGCAGAGACTTGCTTTCCTTGAAAGACAAAATTACTAAAAACAATTGTTAGGATCCTAGTTATACCCCTTTCCCCCGCTTCTCTCAAACTGAAGCAATTCTCAAATGCTTAAATGACAGTTTTATCAGTTTTAAGATAGATCTGATCAGACCCAATTACAAATAAGGATTCCTAGCTGGTATATCATTTATTTAGAACCTTGGAGTGTTTCTAGGGGGGTAGCCAGTGTATCCTAAAAGTTCTATTTATAATGATTTAGTGTTCTGAAATTTCTGTTCTGTATGTATTCTAAAGTAAAGGTAAAAAGACATGTAAGGGTCAGGGAACACTTGGATTTTTACTATAACCACCGAAAGAACTAATGTATCTCCTGTTTCATTAATTGAATCATATCAGGAATATATTTGTGGGGACTGGCTGCACTGTCACAAATGCAGAAGAGACCTACTGAAAAGGGAGGGGCTATTAAGTTCAAGTGTTTGCTTTTTAAAAATAAATAATGTAATCCATATATTTAATATTTAGGAGGAACTCTGGTATTCAAATTCAAATGACTCTACCACTCAATTCTTAACTACCACTACAGCAAAAAAAAAAAAAAAGAGAGAGAGAGAAACTAATAAATAAGTCTTTTTTCACAGCTATTGGTTTCTTTCATCAAGCCTTCTGAAATCTGAACCTCTGCAGAATACTAAACACATGAACCTTACCTACAGACATGGACAGATGCATGAAAGCTCTCATTTTACCCAACTTGAAATTCTTCTAAAAGGAAGGAGTCAGCTTTGGCTTTGAATATTTGGCATGGGTACAATGCTTTAAAAGAGCAGATGACCAGCTTAGCTACTGACCATGCTGACCACTATCTGGAATCAGATCAAATCACAGAAAAACAGCGAATGGCTCTCTCTTATAGAATATCAGAACAAAGCACAATTCCTGAGCAAATTTTGCAAAGCTCATTTGATCACTTTATCTCTTCTAACTGGTCTGGATTACAGACAGAATCGATACCAGAGGAAATGAAACAGACTGGTGAAGAACAGGGAAATAAACTGCGCTGGGCAGCTCTTCTGATACTCATGGTGATAATACCCACAATTGGTGGAAACATCCTTGTTATTCTGGCTGTTTCACTGGAGAAAAAGCTGCAGTACGCTACCAATTATTTTCTAATGTCCCTGGCAGTGGCTGATTTGCTGGTTGGACTGTTTGTGATGCCGATTGCCCTCTTGACAATAATGTTTGGTAAGTATTTCACTTTGTTCCTGCCATCAAGCCACAGAACTATGATATGCTATTAGAGAAAGGGATACTCATTTAATCTTTTTTTTCATTTAATCTTTAAAGATAACTTGGATTATTTAAAGATACAGTTAGTAAATGGTCCTTCATTTTTCATCATTTTCTATGGTTGGTGATCAGTTTTAAAGACCAAAAAAAATACTTTTAGAAACAATTCTACTCCCTCCTCAGCCATCTAATAAAATCATTTAAAAAGTCATTCAAGTTAGCAATGCTCATAGTTTCTGCATACATTACCTAAAAATTACAGTGAAAAAAGACCTACACTTTCACTTTCTCATTTTCAGTACTTTTTTTCCTTGACAAAGCAATAGCTAGGACACTTCTGTGACAGTTACGTACTGGGTTAATTATTAGTGATATGGTTGAATTACTCAATTCAATTTAAATCACTAAACCCCAATTTAAAATTGAAATTGTTCTAAATTGAAATCTCTTTACAGTTTTTGTACTTTATAGAGTTAAACATAACTCTTTCAAGTGTCATGTTAAGAAAAAACTATGTTTAGCTGCTGAAGGCAATGATCTGACTCAGAGTCTTCCCAGAGATGATACATCTGTTTAATTTCTATGATTTTTGACTGTCTGGGTCTTTGATATACGTAAGAGGACTATCAGACCTCTCAGCTATTAAAATAACTGACCAAAGCTTGAGTTACTACAATAAAAATACAGTTTGAAATCTAAGTTTGTTATAATAAAAAAAGAAGTAATTTCTGATTCAAGCAGATCATCTCTAGTTATAGAATCTGGGTAAACATGAACAATTCTGATGAATTATGAAAGCTCCCAAGAATCAGCATAGAGGATATTAATTTATTCACTGCTCGGCAGAAATAGAATGTATATTATAAGGTGAAGAAAAACTGCCACTCAAACTACTATTTTCAAGTTTAAATGCTACACTTTAGTAATTTTTATAACTAATTATAGAAAGATATTTAAAATTAAGTACTTGATCTCTCAAATATAATCAGATGGTAACAGGTTGAAGAACTTACTTACCATTTATGTAAATCAACATTTATCTAGGTTTTAAATTTTGTGGCAAGACAAGCAGTAATGAGTAAGGTTCTACTGCTTTAATAGTTTCTAATCATTAATATGACTATCTCCCTCCCTTTTATAAATTTGTAATCCTTTCAATA